GCCATGAACGGTGCCTTTTGAACCCAAACGAGCATGTGGGGCTGAGCAAACTTTATGCATACATCCTGTACGTCTTTCTACGCAAGGAGTATATGCCTCTTCTGTGCCTGGACTCGGGGCATTGCTCGTGTCCTTGGTGCATGAGCACATGTTCTTGACCCCATCGTCTACCAGTGACCTCTTCTGAGGTAGATTTCAATTCAACCAATCACTCTGTTGCTTTTATGCTTTATTGTAGAAGAAGGGCAGGGAAGCTACAATGGTGAAATTCATTCACAGGCCATGATATAGAAGATAGAAAAACACGGCAAGTTTCAGATTTAGCATGTGAACTTGCGTTAGATGACCGATAACAGGCAACAGCACAGTTCAAAAAATAATATATAAAAAAAAACACTTCATTTTGCCAATAATTGGACATGATTTTCTTATGTTTCCCGTGATAGATTAGGGTCTAAACATCCTTTCGATGCCCGTAGAAACCTTTTATAATGTATTGGGAGACACTGAAGAAGGTACTTCGTCGGTATTTGCATCTTTTACGACATTATTCGACCCATAGCATGACCAAGAATGGGAAAGAAAAAGAAAAACACATTATACATAAGCAAATTGCCCAATGAACTTGTATAAGTAGGAGGCTAGAAGCCAGCAAGTTTAATCAATTTCTTCCATGCAGACCTGCTTGAAATGTCTTCCCATCAAGCATTCACTTTCTCTCTTCTCTTTCACCAAGTGCCCTAATTCAGCTTCACTGACTAGGTATCTAATGGCAGGAAGACGGCTTAAATCAGCAAGCCTGAAGTTTTCTCCAGCTAAATATTTGCTCTTAGACAACCTTTGCTCATACACATCCAAAAGTTTCTCTGGCTTTTCCCCTTGGTAAGTTTCGGCCAGCTTGGAGTCAGCTTTTCGGCCCCCTTCTTGGGAGGATCACAGCTTGAAAGACCAGATCATTGAGATTGTGGGCTTCAACCTCTAGCCATTGATCTACCAGAACTTTCTCTTCTAGTGTAGTTCCAAGTAGATTTGGACCACGGTCTGCATACTTGGCTGCCTAGAATCTTACTAGATCCGTGGATTCAAGGTCCACCAGGAGGCCGAATTATTTTGTTTCTAAAAAATAAATAAATTATGTTTAGAAGAAAAAAAAATCTATGACTTAGGTTATAAATCTGATTAGATTAAATAAGTTAGTTTTATTTTAATTAGATATATAAAAAAATTAAAAAAATTAACCAAATAAAAAAATAATCATGGTAACATGAAAAAAATTCAAAAGAACAATGTAGCTGAATTCCTAGCTAAATAAATATGGAATGAAAAAATTGGATTAAAAAAATAAAATATAGCTCGAGTAAACTTGATTTAACTTAATAAAATTATAGCTCAGGTAATAACTACGAGATAACCCAGTATATAAAACAAATAGAAAAAAAATCACAAAATCTAATTCCCAACAAACCAATTGTAAAAGGATGAAACTCGAAAAAAAATCAACAAACAAAAAGAATCTAAAAAACAATCAAAACCAAGTAAGATTACCAAACTCCACGGTCTGGATTATGCTAATGAGATAACCAATAAAAGCCTAAACAAAAAAAAATAATGAAGATTAATTTAAAAAAAACTAAAATTTGAAGGATGAAACCAAAAAAAAATTAAAATTTCTTTATAAAAGAAGTGTCCCCATAAATAGAGTCAAGCCAACTTGAGTTAATTCACTAAATATGCAGTCTAGATCATAAAATCAGGGTAACTTTATAAAAAATAAAATAATAAAAAAATCTTAAAGCCTATGTAAAAAAAAAAATCAATATCAAATAATGAAATTGAAAAAGAAAACAAGTTAATAATAATAAAATATCAATTCATGTCAACTTTTTAAATCCGTGACTCGGATCTTTCAACTAAAAATCATAAAGTTCAATTTTCAACCAATCAATGAAGAATAAAATAAAAGGAAAAAAATTAATTTTACAAAAAGATTCAAAATAAAAAATAATTATTACAAGAATAAGGATCAAAATTGAAATAAAAAAATAAATTAGAGGAAAACTAATAATTTTTTAATAAAAAGATAAAAAAATTAAAAGAATAAAGATCAAATTGAAAAAAAGAATATGTAATAAATTGAGATGGAAGGATAAAATAAAAAATAGACTGAAATTAAAAAAAAACTAAGAATAAAAATCAAAAATCAAAAAAATTAAAATTAAAATTAAGAAAAATAAATAAATGATGTTTAGAAGGAAAAAAAAAATCTATGATTTGGGTTATAAATCTGATTAGATGAAATAAGTTAGTTTTATTTTAATTAGATATATAAAAAAATTAATCAAAGAAAAAAATAATCATGATAACATGAAAAAAATTCAAAAGAAGAAACAATGTAGCTGAATTCCTAGCTAAATAAATATGGAATGAAAAAATTGGATTAAAAAAATAAAATATAGCTCGAGTAAACCTGATTTAACTTAATAAAATTATAGCTCAAGTAATAACTGCGGGATAACCCAGTATATAAAAAAAATAGAAAAAAAATTACAAAATTTAATTCCCAACAAACCAATTATAAAATGATGAAACCGGAAAAAAAAAATCAACAAACAAAACGATCTAAAAAACAATCAAAACCAAGTAAGATTACCAAACTCCACGGTCTGGATTATGCTAATGAGATAACCAATAAAACCCTAAACAAAAAAAAAATGAAGATTAATTTAAAAAAAAACTAAAATTTGAAGGATGAAACCAAAAAAAATAAAAATTTCTTTGTAAAAGAAGTGTCTCCATAAATAGAGTCAAGCCAACTTGAGTTAATTCATTAAATATGTAGTCTAGATCATAAAATCAGGGTAACTTAATGAAAAATAAAATAATAAAAAAATCTTAAAGCTTATGTAAAAAAAAATTAATGTCAAATAATAAAATTAAAAAAAAACAAGTTAATAATAATAAAATATCAATTCATGTCAACTTTTCAAATCTGTGACTCGGATCTTTCAACTAAAAATCATAAAGTTCAATTTTCAACCAATCAATGAAGAATAAAATAAAAGGAAAAAAATTAATTTTACAAAAAGATTCAAAATAAAAAATAGTTATTACAAGAATAAGGATAAAATTGAAATAAAATAAATAAATTAGAGGAAAACTAATATTTTTTTAATAAAAAGATAAAAAAATTAAAAAAATAAAGATTAAATTAAAAAAAATGATATGTAATAAATTGAGATTGAAGGATAAAATAAAAAATAGACTGAAATTAAAAAAACCAAGAATAAAAATTAAAAATTAAAAAAAATTAAAATTAAAATTAAAATCTTAATAAATAAAAGAATAGTTATAAAATTTTAAATAACCAATGTGAATTTGAAAAAGATAAAAAAAAACTCTCTTGACAATAAATCATCTCACTGTCAACGTCATGGACCGCCCCAGTAAAAAAATAACATCACAACAATTCAAACGACATATTAAAAGGAAATATTTAGTTGCTAGATGACGCACCATGCGATGTCCCTCACTATTTGGCACATGTTTTATACACCAATTAATTTTAGTTTTTTTTAGAATATTTTATATTTTTTAAAATATTAAATTATCCCAAAAATTACAATTAAAAACTATTAAATTTGTTAATGCAGCAAAAAGTTTGAAAGCACCATCTTCAACAACGAGAAGTACTTGCCGAAAAGGCTGGAAAAAATATAAAATTATATCAATAATTCATCAAATAAAGAGGTATATTTGCCTTCTCCCCTAAAAAAAGAGCTGTACAACTTTCATGATTGAGTTATTTCAGTGTAGAAGCACAGGCAATCATTAAAGATTATCTGTAAAACAAGAATTAAAATCATTCTTTTTTATTTTCCTCCTTTTTTCTCTCTTTTAATTTTAGAAATATATCAAATGATCTTATTTTTTATATAACATAATTATGAAATAAAATTTCCTTGATTTCGTTGCAATTGACTTGTAAGTTGGTTCAAATATATCTTTATCAATTAAATAAATATAATTCTTTTACATGTATAGGTATTCTTGCACTAACTTTCTCTCTACCTGTTTGAGTAGGAATTCAGGTAAGCTTCTGCTCACCAGAATCAAGATCAAGATGTTCATGATCGAATTCCACTCCTTTCTTTAGAAGGCAAGCCTAGCCTATCTAATTTATAGTAAAATATCTTTGGTTATATATATAGATATATATCAGTCTGAAAAAGGACACTTCTACCACAAGAACTAGGGCCGGCCACCGTCAACCAATGGGCTCTTCTAGGGGCACCACTCATGTCCTTCGATTTGCATGAGCACATGTTCTTGACCCCACCCTCAACCAGTGACCTCTTTTTAGGCAGATTTCAATTCAACTGACCACTGTATTGCTGTCATGCTTTATTGTTAATGAAGCTGCAGGAAAGTTCAAGTGGATATGGGCATTTTCCCGACTGATAATCGATTAATTAGCTGAGGGTGACCTGCAAAGCAAGCCCTTGTATGTTTTTAGAGGACATTTCAGTAGTTAAGTTAGCGTAATGAAGAGAAGGATCAACCAAAAGAAGCGCAGAGCGAGTCTAATAAAATGGTAATGGAGATGATGTAGTGATATGTAAATCTTGGTACGGGTGATAGGGATATTCGTTTACTTCGTGTACAGCATATCACATGATTTGCCTGACAAGTAGCGTATAATGAGAAAGGACTAGCTCACCTGACCAGTGGGCTCTTCTAGCAGGCAGTCATGGCACTGTCACTTGCCTGTCACCTTGAACAATAAAAAATGGCAAATGTTGTGTGCAATTAATGGCGTGGACGTCATTGGTTTTTTAAGAGAATACTCTCTTCACCTACGCAGGGGTCAGCCGTGGTGATAGCTTGTAAGACTATTTATAGCCAGGATACAGGGTAGAAAAACATGGCAGGTTTCAGATTTGGTGCTGCGTGTACTTGCATTAGATGATATCGATAACAGGCAACTGCATGCACACTTCAAAAAACAAATAAAAATAAATTGACACATGCCTGGAAGGAAGAGGTGAGCTTCATTTTGACAATATTTCTTATGTTTTATGTGATATATTAGGGCCCAAACATCCTTTCAAAGACGTCGGTTGATGCCTTGTATAATTCTTGGACGTCACTAAAGAAGGTTACTTTTGTCGATACTTGCATCGTCTGCCATGCCGACTTTATTCACACCAAAGCAGGACATAGAAAGAAAAAGAAAACGAAGAACACATTATATAAGCAAATTGCTCAACAAGCGTCAAGTTGGTCGCTAGAAGCCAGCAAGATTCACCAGTCTCTTCCAAGCGGGCCTGCTTGAAATGTCCTCCCACCAAGCATTCAATTTCTTTCTGTCCTTCACCAAGTGCCCTAATCCAGCTTCGTTGACTAGATATCTAGTGGCAGGCAGATGGCTTAAATCAGCAAGAGTGAAGCTATCTCCAGCTAAATATTTGCTCTTTGACAACCTTTGCTCATACACATCCAACACCTTCTCCAGCTTTTCCTCGTAAGTCTTGAGCAGCTCGGAGTCACCTTGCTGCCCAATTCTTGGCAGGATTACAACTTGGAAGACTATATTGAACACCAAATCATTGAAGTTGTGGGCTTCAATTTCTAGCCATTGATCTACCAGAGCTTTCTCTTCCAGTGTATTTCCAAGTAGATTCGGTCCACGGTCTTCATACTTTGCTGCATAGTATCTTATGATTGCTCTGGACTCTGAAGCAAAATTTGAGAAAACACCCACAGAAAAAAAAAAAGAAAAAGATTATAGATTCATTAAATGTTGTTTGCCAATTATGAAAAAAGAAATTGGAAAATCATTCAGTTTTTCAGAAATTTCTTCTAAGAAACAAAACATTAAGAAATATTTATTAATTGAAAATGAAAATTGTTTTATTGAAAACAGTGTTTTATAGTTTTTCTAGAAAACTAAAAGAACACCAAAGTGGTTTTTTTTTTAATTTTCAAACTCTTCATTTAAAAATAAGGATAGTTTTTTTTTTTTCAAACTCTTCATTTAAAAATAAGGATTTATTTTTATTCACGTGATAGTAATATTCCTTCTATATAATTTTAAATTTAAGTAAAAAATTAATGGCCTTTAAAAAAAAATTATATTTAATAAACTTATTTACTTAATTCCCATAAAAAGTCTTTTTAGAATAAATAAAAAACCTCGAGATGAAATTTTTTTTTAAAAAAAAGAGATTATTTTATGAGAATAAAAACAACAAGATGATACCGTCACTCTTACCAAAAAGCTTGAAATCACCATCTTCAACAACAGGAACTTGCCCAAAAGGCTGGAAAAGAAAATATGCAAATAATTAAATCAGTAATTCATCGAATAAAGAGTTATATGTGCTCTAAAAAACTGAGTTAAACAATTTTCATGATTTAATTATTTCAGTATACAAAAAAAACTAATAATCATTGCGAATTTCCCATAAACCAGGAATCAGAATCATTCTTTTTCAATATTCTCCTCCCTTTCTCTCAATTTTAAAAATACACCAAATAACCTTTTATATATATATATATATATATATATATATATATATATATATATATATATATATATATATAGATATATATATGATGCCATCAGGAAACACAACTTCGTTTCATATGAATTGGTTCGAAGATATCTTTAACCATTTTTTATAAATAAATATTTTTATAAAAAGATATCGTTTCATAGAGAAAAAATAATCACGAGAGAGAGAGAGAGGCAAGCCAGAGTAGCTTGCAATAACGTTCTCTCTACCTGTTTGAGGAGGAATTCAGGTAGCTTCTGCTCACCGGAATCAAGATCAACATGTACAAGATCAAATTCCACTCCTTTCTCTAAGAGGCAAGCCATGACCCTTTGTGGGCAAACAGCCATGGCTGGACCATACACTTTAACAACCATGATCGATGAATTCTCTGAAACTTACCAGTACTTACTAAATAAAACAAAGAGAATCTTGAGCTCTGCCAAAGAAGGATCCAACCTGCATAATTTACAGTACAGATCCCATGGTTATATTTATAGCAGAATATCGTTGGTTATAAGCCGGGGGTTGTCACGTGAGCTCTGCAACAAGAACTCGAGGCTTGCCATGCAAGTCAAAGCAACATCGAATGAATTCTTCCCATTTTATGGTTATGGGGGTTGTCACATGCAAGAACAACCGGTTGGTGGAGGCCAAACTTTGGGAACTTTAAATTATTAATTTGGGTAATATTATACATAATCATTAATGTATAGTACATAGTTGAAAGGTTTTTTTAAAATAAAAATATTAAGGGTGTTTTCTTTTTACCATTATTGTATCAAAAACACACAAGAAAGAGAATGAATTGATGGCTTTTTATATCCAAATATATTTTAAAAATTATTGTTTACCAAATAATATCATAATATTTAATCTAAATCATATTTTAAATTAAACTATAAAAAATTTAACTCAATCAAATAAAATAAACTCAATAGAGCAACTCATAATCCAATCTACTATATCAAAACCTTTTAATATTGAAAAAAGTTAAAATAATAACATTTTAAGTTTACGTCGATCAACTTTAAATAACTTATTTAATTCATATTTAATTCATGATCCTGTTTAAAATTAAAATTATAAACTGAATCAAATTTATAATAATTTTGATTTTGATTTCATTTATATTTTGCTAATTATATGTTGAAGATTATGGTAAAATGTGCTTTTCAAAATAATTTTTAATTTAAAATATATCAAAATAATTTTTTATTTTTTTATTTTTAATACTAGCACAATAAAATTATTAGATTATATTAAAACAAAAACAAACAAAAAAATCCCTTCAAGAAACATAGCAAAGCGCTCCAAAAGACACCCGAGGTCAAGGTCGCCTAAAGTCTTTTTTCCCGATGTGGACACAACATACGTTACAATTCTTTCATCTTGAATAATAATTATCTTCCCTTCATTACATTCAATTAATTTCTGATGAACATTCCCGAATCCATTTCTTGGCGTTTGTTTCAAAAGTGGAATCTACAAGGGGGGAAAGCACTGCGTGGATCAACCATTTAGAATTTGGTAATGATATATTTTACACTCTTCTTCTTCTCTTGATCTTTCACTTGGGACTGGTCTTGTGTTGATCTTCAAATCTTGTTAGCTCTACCTGGACCTAAAAGCAAAGGCCGCATTACTCTGGGCACACAAAAGGAAGGCCATCCAATCTGTTGCTAGAAATGCAAAATGCCTAACCACGTGATCTTGTTTCGCTCTTTGCAATTCACTGTAGAGTTCAAGCCTTCAAATGTAATTGAATTTCATTCTATCTTTCAATGAATACTTGCTGTATGGATGTATGCTTGCATGCTGATATACGCTACAATATTTAAACCATTTTATCCACTAGGTATAAAATATTTGAGTTTCAAGTTCATGTTGCAGTTTATGTTTTTGCCAAAGGAGATGGCACAAGCGATGATGGACTAATGAGGGATTTTGCGTATGCAACTGGCAAAGCAACTATCTTCTTGGCTTTTCTCACATATGCCCTCTTTGTGAAGCTGTTGTAATCGTTAGCCTCTATCTCGTCTAGTATTTGGCGATATAGCAGCAAGGATGCCCAAACCTGCAACATCCGAAAACATGGCGCAATCATAAGCAAAAGCAGGCGGAAAAGATACTATCGACTATCAAAAGCAAATCCTAGCTATGATTCTAAATTTCTCAGTCGGAAATGCTAATCCTTTTGTTAGTTTGGTGTGATAACAACGCTAAATCGTTCGATTGCTGAAAGATGAATTTCTGATCTTGGTAATCATGAGAACATTGTAGGATAAAGCTTAGCATGGTCCTATTTACCGCAACAGAAATATCAAAAAGAAAACAAAAGGGCAAAAACCAGAACTGAGGACAATAACCATGACCTTCAACAGAAATATCCCTGGCCAGGCTTCTCGCGTGTGTGATTGCCAACGTAAGACCAGAAAACAGCTGGTTTTCTGTCAATTAGGGTGCATGTGTTCAAAGCCAATCATATGACGATTATAGATCTTCAATTGGTTTCATGATTTCCATTTCTTCTTTTTTTAATTTTTAATTCATTTTTCCATTGTTCACTAAAGGTTAAGGTTCATTATTTTGCTATTGAGATATTAATAGAAGCGCTTGATTGTTTACCGGCCATCGACTTGCAGCACTCAATTCTGTCACTCCTTTCTCAGCCTCATCAAAGAACATCCGTGCTCTCTTAATTTGATTCTTCATAAAGTTTCTCCACTTATCTGTCACCTTTCCAGCAAATATGTCATCATCTGAAAGCCCTGCCTGTGCCAGCTCATCTTGTGGCAGATAAACCCTTCCTCTTCTTGCACTGCAAACAAAGTCAACAGAAAAGGAAAAGCTAAGGATAAAAAACTGCATATACAAAAAGTCGACTCACTATACAAAAGAAAAATAGGCAAAAAAATAATTATATGACGAGAATTTGTTCATAAGATACTATTTGATGCAGCATATAATTCTAGATTACTGCTCAATTGACTCCCTAAAAAGAAAGTGAAAGCTCTAGACAGCTTGTGCAAAGTATTTTTTTTATTGTGGCTTCAAGCTTGCAGCATACACCACTCTGCACTTACTCTTCTCCAACATCCCTGAGTATGTTAGTGAGTTGATTAGCTATCCCCAATGCCAAGGCAGCATTATAAACACTCTCGGTCGAAGCCTGTGATTCAGGTGCAATGCCCATGACTGGAACACTCATTAGTCCAACAGTCCCAGCAACATAATAACAGTAAAGATAGAGCTCATCAAAGTTTTGGTATCTTGATTTCCTCAAGTCCATCCTCATTCCTTGAATCATATCTTTGAATGGCTGAAACAAGGTATCATACAAAAAAATAAGACATGAATCTTGCTTAGGCACAACATCACTGGAAATGCTTTTACAATATCATTGCATTAAAGTGACTAGCATCAAATAGTAATGGCCTTCATGTGATGTGAAAAAAAATTAAGATTCTAGTTTTAGGGCATGACTGCATATTTCATTAAAAAAAAAAAAAACTGTTTCCAATAGCTACTAGAACAAGTCGGAAAAGTATGACTGCTGAGAGTATCCAGAACAACAACTTGCACATTGCATATAGAAATAAACTAAAGTCGCCAACAAGCACGATATGTTGCAATGCCAAAAAGACTTTTGATTGGTAACAGAGTAATTATTTTTTCAATTGAGAAGTACTTTGATTTTGAAATTACTGCCTAACCTGAATATCAACAGGAAATTTTCCAACTGTGTCTGCTAGAGCAGCATCCATCATATCAAATGGACGCCCTTGGAAAAGATCTTCCAACCTTGCCTCCCACCTATCTAAAGCTGTTGGTGTAATGTGTGAAGCATTAGGCCCATCAACAAGCTCATCGGTCCTCCTACACCACACTGCATGAGCAGAAAACATTGTAAGAAAGAAAGGAAAAGGTTCACTCTGTCTTGAGAGCCATCGTCTCTTACATTCATAGACAATAGCCTTCGAATACCATATAGAACTGATCAAACCTGATTTCAATCATGAATCGGAGGAATAATATTAAGGGTAAGCATCAGGAGTTAGTGTAACCAGTTAACAGCATGCTTGATTTCTCTTCGAGAGATATTGTCTTCGAAATTCCAGGTACATGATTATCACATTTTGAAATAAATTCCATGAAAAGAGCACTTAAGGCTTCACATATATCCTAGACAGGAAAAGATAAGTTCTTATGGTTCACATAATGTACAATTAGCTGCGCAATTAGCACCATGATTTCATAAGCTCCCAAAAATAACATCTCTTTTTATTTCAGAATACTTTGCTCATCATTTGATTATCAAATCCCATCAGAACACATGTATGCTGTATAGGATTGAAATCACTCTCCTCCAACTTCTAAATTCTCTGAATATTCCAAGATGAAAGGAGAAAATCACTCACCATATATGGCCCAAATAGCCCTTCTCCGTTCAGGGGTCATGAGCAGAGTTCCTGAGAAAGCAAAAGGCAAATGAGAAAACCAATCACTAGAACAACGTATAACAGATTCAAAAGCCAGCAAGAGCCAAAAATCAAAATTCCATTAACTGAACAACAGGAAGCTAACCCAGGTAAAAAGTCTTAGCATACTCAGCACAAACTTCTCCACACCGATCATAAGCTTCACTCAACAAGCTCAAAGTCCCTGGAAGAACAACATCTGGTTTCACATCCAGATCACCTCTGGACTTCAGTTCTTTCTTAACCAGAGCTGCCTGCTTCAGCACCACATTATAAACCATCTCCTCGGATGACAAAACAGCCATTTCTCCAGCATGGCTTGCTACCATGCTTGATATCATAGGCAATTTGCTTCCATTACTTCTACCACCTAAATACCCCAAATCTGGATTGACAGAGCATGACTTCCATTTCTGTTTCCTACCCTTTCTTTCTCCAAGCTTAAAAAACAAACTCCGATCTCTAGAATTACCAAACTTCGTTGTATCCAGAACCCTGACAGAATCCAGGAATCGAAGACAATTGGAAACCTCTGTGCTTGGATTGGCACTACCAACCCAAAACAATGCTACCGTCATTTCAAAAACTAGTCCTTTTGTTACCAAACTCTCCTGGGAACCTCCTTCAACAATCCCAATTCACTCAAAACACACAAGTTTTCTACTTTTCAAGATAAACCCACTTCAACTTTACAAGCGAGTTTCATAAAGAGTAACTAGCTGACTTCCCTCACACAAGAAAAGCAAACCAACTTTTTCAAAATGAACCCATTATAGACCAGCAGCAAGTGAAGCTTTGTTTAAGCGTATCTGTAATTGAAACATTAAAAAAGAAATCATAGCCATAAACTATATAAAACGAGGATGATAAAGATTATGGAATGTGATGATAAACTGATGATAAAAGGCTAACCTCTTTTGCTGTTTTTTTTTTTGGCACCCCACCCTTGACAATAAAGAACATTCTCCAATAAACTAAGACAACTACTCTTTTACAAGTACCGACCTCACATGAATTGGAAAACTAACAACGGCCCACTAAACAAACTCTCCACCCTTCCAGAGGCTCCTACAAAAAATGACAACGTTTTTGTTTTGTTCTTGTTCTTGCCCGGCTATAAACCCGCTTGTATCCGGATTTGGTTTCAAGCTGGTGACCCATACCTTTTGAGTTTGAAAGCGCAGTGTATTTGTCGCTTGTAATATTATCTCAGATTTGAATTTAATGAATAATTTCTTATGAAAAAAACATATGTTCAATTAAGGATGGACCTGTCAAAAACTCCATTAAATGAAAAAAAAAATAACATTACACAAGTCTAATTTATCTCAATTTCGCAAGCAATTAAGTGTATATTTTGTAAATTTTTATATTTTTAAAACAACAAATATATAAAAACACATTCTTTATATTTCAATTATCTCGCTTTCTTCTGTAAATAGTAATCAAATTCTACATAACTAAAGTATATAAAGATTTGAGTGGTGTTTACTGCTGCGGGTGGAGCATTGACCCAACTTTGAACTTGGACATTTTTTTTGGTGGGTCAAAAGGGTATTATGAAAAGAGCAATGAAATCTAAATGAGATGGACACGTCGACGTATCCACCAATCAATGGAGGATAACGTTATCGAAAGGGTGGCAGAAAAGGCCTGGGCCATTGGGGGGGAAGATGTACACGTGGCGAACAATGAATGAACAGTGAAAGTAGCCCTAGCAAGATCCTGTGAGGATATTATTAAAGATACCAGTGCTCCTCCAAAGAAAGAAAGAAGATAGACTGGTGCGGGGCCAACTTCTCCAGCAATGGAAATGGGGTAGGTCGTAATTCTTCCATTCTCTTGTTGTTTTCTTTTCTCTTCTTTCCAGGAGTTTTCGTGTCAAGGAAACAAAAATAAAAAAGTAAAATTATTTAATAATTTAAATTAATAAATAAAATTTTAAAATATATTTTATATTATTTTTTAACATAATTTTTCATATAAAATTTTTTAAATTTAAAACTTGCATGAATTCCTACAATAATATCATATCAAAGAATTAATGTAACTTACAAACTTAATATACTATGTAGTGTTATATAAGTTTTTAAAATATAATTTATATTATTTTTTATAAATTGTAATGTAAAGTATTAATTTTTAAAAAAATTTATTTTTATTCTTCACATCAACACATAAAAAAAACATTAAAATAAAAATTAATTTAATGTTATTTTCAGACAAGAAATTATTTCAGGAAACATCCAAAAATAAAAACAGAATCTGCATCGAGCACCCCTAATTAGGTTTTTGTTGTGTTGTGAAGGAAAAGTAAACTGATTGAGTGACGTGTAGACCACGATTGATGGAATTTGTGGACGTGTCCACACTTGTTCTTCATGGGGGTTAGAGGTATTCTCCCAGACACGTAGCCCACCACCTTTTTTAAATTACTATTTTCATCCTTTTCGTTTGCTTGAGTGCCTGTGTTTTCCCGTATAAAATACATGGCCAATGACAAGGTAACTTGCTGGTTGTATTAGGGTTTGATCGAGGAATAACAAGGTAACTTGCTGGTTGTATTAGGGTTTGATCGAGGAAGTATTTCTTCTTCAACTTTGCTACTGCTATATACACACACACACACACCTCATTGTTGTCTTTCTCGTCAGACAATAAACAGTAAGTCTTAGTTAATCTTAAACGGATTATGAGAGTTATATTATCATGCACGACACCTCCAAATATTCTACACCACCATGGAAATAATAATTTGTTATGATATATATATATATATATATATATATATATATGAGTGTCT